TATATATATACATATGCACATATGTGTATGTTTATTTGCCTGTATTTAAAATTATGTACACAAGGATTGTGTGAGAAACTCTGTGCCGCAATTTTGCTGCAACAAACTTTGCCCCTAGCATGTGCCTTACCACATGGGTGATATGCATCTCAACAAGCACGGCCGACGCTGGCATAGCTCTAAATACACTGGTAGCGTAACTCTAAGTACATCTAAGTACGGCCTGACTGACTGGCGGAAACGCACTCGTTGATACAGACTGCAGATTAGCCGCCATCAGAGAGTACAGAAAGCAAAGAACAGTCCCCAGCGAGATCAGCACGTTCATGTCCCACACGCCGCTCCTGGACTTGGGGTCCGGGGTTGGGCTGCGACCCTGGCCCCTAGAAACCTTGAGCCCAAAAGCCTCCTACAACCTTGGTGCTTTCATTTCACTGCGCGAGGTTGCAACTCTGCCCTTCGGCCTGCATCTAAAAACCAGCGCCAGTTTGTTCCAGCTCCGCCCCAGATACCAAAGTTTGACGAAGGAGAGAAAGCTCTTGATGTACACAAAACAAGCCACTGAAACGAATGACTTGACCTGAATTTCTGGGCCAGGGTGGCTCAAGGAACCGTGGGCTACTGTGGTGTATATAGGCACCGACGGTGAGCTCTCCAAAAGACTCGGAGACAAAAGACTGCAATCATTCCCGCTGAGGCTGTCGCCGGACTGCGTGGTAGGCACCAAGGTGGAAGCGGAGTCCGCAATAGAGCCTCACAGTGTACCAGCATGTGAGCGGATCCCATGTCATGTGGAAGGAAAAAACTACAGCCAGAGCACGCATACATCCACCTAAACCTCAAGCTGAGAAAGAAGCGACTGCATGCTGCGAGCCCTCAAACCCGGACCAAGCACGAAGCACTCCGGCAACATGACGATGACCATCATCCGGCTGATAAATGTTCTGGTGTTTCATTGCTGTCATTGCTACAGTGTGGCGCCAATGCTTGCAAGAGTCAAGCACTGTGGTGATGCTACATGCTTGTCACTGAGAGGGGGCCTGCGTACTGTAGAAGCTATTTCTAGAACTTTCGACTTGCACTGCTGTCATAGCAGTTGCTATTGCTACTGTTCCTTTCCTGGTCTGGGGTCTGTCTAAATACTCGGTGTCATCGGCGCTCGATCAACCTGTTGCCACCATCAAGTTGCAGTAGTGTGCTGTAGGTGTGTGAGTCTGTCTGCTGTGAATCTTGTTCGCTGGTGCCATGGGTGCTCAGATTGCCACGGTGGCTGCTGAACCAGCTTCGGTTGCTGGCGCTCTTCCGCCTACATATTTTCTCATTCTGCTTCTGCTTTAGACGACGAGTATTCCCGTCTCTACGGCAACGATTACAGGGCTACGGCTTCTGCTCCTGCTACACCCCCACTGCCACTGCCACTGCCA